AAGTATGGAAGGGTGTGAGAGGGAGCCCAGGAGAATGGCGAGTTAGCGCTAATAACGGATTTAGTAGTAGCCCGAATATTGATGGCCAGCATGTGGGATTTAGAGTGGTTTTATATAAGGAAGCTTTGCTGAATCTCGTGAGGATTTCTTGAACCGCTGGTAGTAAGTTCAGGGGATCAACCACAGAGATGATTACATCTGCATATAACCCTATTTTGTGCGTTTGTTGGCCAGCAGATATTCCGCGTGTAGCAGTACTCTCGCAGATAGCAGCAGCCAAGGGTTCCATCACCAGTGCAAATATCAAGGGGGACAGAGGGCATCCCTGTCGAGTACTATTAGTAATTTGAAAAGGTGTGGACATTAGTCACAAAGTTTTTACTCTCGCACTAGGTTGCGAGTACAGAGCATCAATGGCTGAGCCCAAGAAACCCACAAAGCTTGTCGGCCATACACAAATCCCACCTGACCCAGATGAATCAGATCAGGAAGCACCTGTAACATATTAGCAATAAGCGTTGGATACATTTTAACATCTGTGTTAAGTAACGAGATAGGGCGGAAATTAGCTGGGTCATCCATCAGTTTCTCAGGTTTAGGGATCGTAATGATGGTGGCCTCAAGGGATTCTTTAGGGAAGGAACCCGTAGCTGCCACTTCGTTAGCAATGGTACTAGGGCTGCAGCTAACGATTATTTTCAAAATTGATTAGTTGGCCGATTTATTAAGTTCGATTAATCGTAGCGGCGAGTGAGGGAGCTCACGGCAGCGGCGTGCGCGGCTTCAGTCTCCTGTGCGGTGGGCGTGGCTTCAGCGTCCTGGGCGCGCGGGCGCAGCGTGTGACGTACGTGCGGCTCAGGCCGTGTGCGGAGCCCCGAACAGGCTAATCAATCAATAGCCGACAAATCGACGATCGAAAACGTCGACAACGTTTTCGATCGTCGATTTTATTTGACTTAATCGATTAGCTGTTGCAGCTCTAAATGGTACATAAGTGAGGGGCTAAGATGGAAGAGAAACTTTTATAATATTCCGCACTGTATCCATCAGGGCCAGGGGCCTTATAACTTTCAAGACCTCCTTCTTAACCTCAAACGGGGATTGTAGTAACTGTGTCAGATCAGGTGAAATAGAGGGAAGCCGTACTGAGTCCAAGAAGGATTGGATGGCAGAGGTGGTGGGAGGGAGGTTTGAGAGTCCGTTAGATTATATAATGAGTAGAATTCCTTAAAGTGATTGGCTATATCAAGAGGGTTGGAAAGTCTTTTACCTGCGTAGTTGGTCATCTAACGCAGTGCTCCCCAACCTTTTTATTGCCGCGGACCGGTCAATGTTTGATAATTTTACCGCGGCCCAGCGGTAAAATTGGCGTTCGAGTGGCGAAGCGGTTTGGAAGGTTTCATTGCCTCATTAGAGAGCTGGTCGCCGCAAACTATGCAGAGCGGTTTTGGTGTGTGGGAATCACCTGTCCCGATAAATCCATATTTCAAGTAGGACTCATGGTATTGTCTGTTTAAAAGTTACATGTTTGATGTTGAAGGCCCTTCTGTCTCTTCACTGGGCCTTTTCTTTTTCCCAAGGAAACTTTCTAACGATGTCTGTTTTCGTACTAATTTTTGCTAATTTGTGGGTTAAATTTGAGCAAACACAATATACACGTACACCAAGCACTGTTAAACATGAGAAAGTACCGGTGAACAGAGAGAAGAGCGATACACACCTTCTCTTTACCAAAGCTACAACGCCACTGCCGCTTGCAGCCGCTCAGCTCCAGACGTCACCTAAAACCGCCCCGATATCACGACATTTTGCACATGCGCGGTATTGGTGCGGCTTTAGGTGACGTCTCTCAGCTCCCGGTTAACCTCTCGTCCTGGAAAGTTGGACAAACCCGAGAGAAATACACCACAGTAAATAAAATGGAAATAATTTAATGTTCCTTGTGTGGCCCGGTACCATTTGATCCACGTAGCGGGCCCGGGGGTTGGGGACCACTGATCTAACGGATTCTATTGGCTTCCTTCCTGTGTTTTAAATTGTTGGGCTATAAATCTGCCTACTTTGTTTCCCTGGGAGTAGTATTTCAATTTAACACTTTTGATCATAAAATCCTGTTGTGAGGTTAAGAGCATACTAAGTTCGTGGCAAAGGGATCGTAAAGTGGAAGAGGCAGACGGAGCTGGGTTTTCTTGTTAGACTCCTCAAGGGTTTGGATTTGGGTTAGTAGAGAGAGTAGTGTTTTATTACGTTTCCGCTTCTCCTGTGCCCCTAGTTTCATTGGTAGTCCTCTAATGAAGGCTTTGTGCCCATTCCACACTACCGTGTGGTTGCTAGCAGAAGAGGTATTAATGTCAAAGAATGCATCTGTTTCAGACTGGACATAAAGGCTATATTCAGTATGGGAAAGGAGACTAGAATTCAAGCTCCATGATGTGGAGAGGCGGGGGGCAGTTGCAGGAAATATGTATACTGAAACCGGAGCGTGGTCGGACCACGTGATTAAACCAATGTCAGCTTTTGAAACGTGTTGTTGGGTGACTTTGTCCACTAGGAACATGTCCAGCCTGGAATAATAGTTTTGCGTATAAGAAAAAAAGGTATACTCCTTCTCACTGCCATGTAGGCATCTCCAGGCATCATGTAGATCATTAGAACGAAGGAAAGAGGGGAGGCAAGTGTCGCAGTTCCTTTTAGTATTGGTGGGGTCAAGTACCTCATTGAAGTCACCGCATATAAGGTGGCCTTTGCGAATGTCAGAAACTGAGCGCATTACCGCGGAGAGAAATGTTTTCTGATAAGTATTAGGGGCATAGGCATTGACTATGGTCAGAAGGCAGCCATTGATTGTCACCACCAAGATAATGAACCTGCCATCTTCGTATGCAGTCAACCAGTAAATCATGTTGTTGGAAGGCGACTGATTGATTTTTTTTAATGGCTATGATGACACCCTTGGTTTTTTTTGTCAGAGTGAGCAAAAAAATAATGTGAGAACTCAGTTTGCATACAGGAGGTTTATCTTCACAGAAGTGGGTCTCCTGCACGCACAGAATATCGCGGTGTCCCCTCCTTGGGCAGTAGAAAGTACACCAGACCTGGGAGTCTGCGAACGTATTACCTTCATGAGAGATGATCAGAATAGACCAAAACAGCTGGTAATCACATAAAAAACAAATCAATACACATATAAAAACAATATTGCGCTTATACCAAGCTAAGAGAGTGGTTATCACACAGTAACTAAAACAACAAAAAAAACAAGGTAACCTGACTGTGTCTTAAATGGGGGGGGTAAGAACAATCCGATAGAGCGGAAATCGCAGGATCTCGAAGATCAGGATCAGGTAGCATGTTCTATGAGGTGGGCGCCGCCACCCATGTTAGAGAGCTGTGTGAAGTCAGCGAGATGCCCAGTCCATATGGACCTTCCTGGCTTGTTGAGGTCGGGACCCTGGAGTCGGCATGGTTATATGTATATTCCAGAAATGCATTCGAGCACAGTCAGCCGGGGTCGGTATAGGCACTATTTCGCTGAGATGAGAGACCAGGAGCTTCGTCGGGAACCCCCACTTGTAGGAAATCTGGTGATCACGAAGCGCCTTGGCGATTAGGGCAAATTCCTTGCGTTTTTGAGCAGATGCAGCCGAGATGTCAGCATACAGCGAAATATGTGTATACGGCTCTGGACGAGCAGGAGCTTGTTTAGAAGCAAACATGAGTCTGTCTTTAGTATGAAAAAAGTGGATTCTGGCATTGACATCTCCGGGCACAGACGCCGGTAGATGGTTGGGCTTATGCAGCCTGTGGGCATGATCAATAAGCGTATCAGTGTACACATCCTGTGAAAGTTGTATGTTCCTCTGGTATGAGCAGGACCTGGATAAAATAGGGTCGTGGGCAACTACATGGCAGATGAGGTTTAATGTTGAAAAATGTAAAGTAATGCATTTTGGGGTTAAACACAGGCAAGCGGAATACACAATAATGGTTACTCCACTGGGGAAGTCAAAAATGGAAAAAGATTTGGGGTTCATAGTCGAGTACAGATTGAATAATACCATGCAATGCAAGGCTGCAGCAAACAACGCTGGCAAAGTACAGTCATGCATTAAAAAGGGAATGTACTCTAGCGACGAAGCAATCATTTTTCCTCTTTATAGATCACTGATTCGGCCTCATCTTGAGTATTCGGTTCAGTTTTGGTAACTAATCCACAGAAAGGATGTCCTTTAGCTGGAGAGAGTCCAGAGAAGGCCAACTAAACTAAGGGGCTAGAGGACCAAAGCTATGAGACAAGGTTGCTAAATTTTAAACTTGTTCACGCTGGAAGTGAGGCGATTAAGGGGGGACATGATTTTGATGTACAAAATGTTTAGTGGAGATGGCAACATCGGCAGTAAACGTTTTACTGTAAACTCCCTAAAAAAAGGCTAGAGGCCACCGTCTAAAATTGGTGGAGAAAAGATTTGACCACAAAGGGTGCAGGAGCTTCTTTTCAGTTAGAGCGGTTAATATTTTGAAACTCTCTACCACAAGCAGTGGTATCAACATAGTATGAAATCATTCAAAAATCATTTAGATACCTTCCTCAGAGACCATAACATAAAGGGGTACAGGTACTCTTAAAAACTAGACAACACAACAACTCGTATACACACGCACAACAGACACACAAAGGTTAAACTTTATAGACCTGTGTCTTTATTCAACCTCACATACTATGTAACAGGAACACATCTGTTAATTTTTAACGGGCTACAGAAAGAGATTATGAACTCAGTGTCCTCAATCTCTTTTCCAATTTTGAAAGGGAAATATCAGGGATCTGTTTAAAAAAATATGTAATAAACAAATTAATAAAAACAAAATATTTAAAGAAATGTTAAAAGGTTAGAAAAAGTATTTTTGGTTTCCGTGTGACAGAAAATTAGAATATAATTTATATTAGACCTAAATCCTTTTGTTTCCTTATGAATATTTTATCCTTTTTCTTCTTGCAGAAGCTCCTGGGGCTGGTGGTCTTAAATTTAACATTCAGAAGCGCCCTCTAGTAATGACCCATCAGAACTTTACATCTGCTGAACAACATACTAACAACAATAGCATGCAGCAGCCGACACGTATGCATCACCATATGTTACAGCAGCAAACAGAGAAAAGCCATGATCACAGGTAACCAGATAGTTTATTCTGTGCTAGTTAAAATATTAATTATTTGTGCTGCATGCTTCCTACCTGGATACATTCTAATTTGTATGCAATCTCAATTGCAACAGTAACTCTTCTGCAAAACCAGAGGACTGGCCACCAGCAATGAAAGAATATGTTCAGCGTTGCTTTACTGCATGTGAAACAGAGGAGGACAAGGATCGGACTGAAAAACTTCTTAAAGAAGTTCTACAAGCCAGACTGCAAGATGGTTCAGCATATACTATAGACTGGAGCAGAGAACCTCTACCGGGGTAGGTGTCATGTTTGTTTCAGCAAATCCTGTCATACATTTAACCCCATCACGTTCAGTGTAACCAGAACCTTCATGATCAGGCTAAATTTTGCGTTTTGTTAGGTTTCTGTTTACTCAATATTTTAGCTCCTTTGAATCTTATTTTGTTTATAAAGAGGAGCTTCACCCTAATCTTAAAATTGACAGCAAAGGCACTTTTAGAAATGTTTAGACATTTTTATTTTTGTAGATTACTATTACTAAATATTTTGCAGGCTTTTTATTCTTAGCATACCTTATTTTATTTTCCTCCCAACTCTCTTTACGTGGCCATTTTTCACTAAGGGCAGATAATCCATCTCCATTTACTTCCTGGAACTCTATCTACCTCCTGGAACATATCACAGTGCACATCATCTGAAGGGTAAAAATTAGGGACGCACCGATATATCGGCCGAAAATGGCGCTTTTGGCTAAATGCCGAAAGTGCAATTTTTTGTGCTGATACATCGGCGCATCCCTGCTTTCTTTCCTCCCCGCTGGGCGCTGCTCTGTGTCCCAGCGAGGAGCAGAGAAAGTGAGACAGCCGAGCGCTGCGGGAGGAGAGTGCTGTAAACGGCCGGCGTCTCTCCTCCCACACCTATCACAGTCCGGCAGAGCTGTGTGGGGGCGGAGACAGCCCGCGCTGTCACAGGAGGCTGAGCTCTCCTACCTGCAGCGCTCGCTCAGACATCTATAACAGCATGCTAGAGAGGAGAGCGGGAACAGACTCAGTGATCGCTGAGTGTTTGTAGATAATTGAGGACATAGCATGTTGACTATATCCTCAATTATGAATGAATGGGAAGTGATCTACATCACCTCCTGTTCATTCATAGTTGTAGTTATTAGGGCTGCAGCTAACGATTTTCATAATCGATTAGTTTGTTTAATCGGATAGAAATCGTTTTTTTAAAAATGGCTCCCGTGATGGAATTCTACTTTGTATTGAGATTGTAGTCTATCATGAGAGTAAGCTTGGAGCGGTGACCACTTTACAACACACACAGGGACCATGGGGAACAAAAGTAGCCCCCCTCCAGAAGGAAGGACAGTGTCAGCACAAATTCAGAGATGTTTCAGGATTTACAGCCGAATGATACACAAATAAGATACATTTTTGTTAATAAAGTACCTAAATGCATCATTTAACTCCTGAGTTTGGTTTCAGTTTTTTTATGAACAAAGTAAACTATTGCACCTTACAAACTGCAGGTGCAGAATAAAAAAATAAAACTTTCTCTCCCGTTCATTGAAGGACACAGGGCAACAGATCGTACATCCTGAATGGTAGGGTATATCGCCACCTGCAGGAGTAGGACGCTAGGCACATAACTAAAAGACAAGACAGCCTAGGGGCGGCCCCTGCTGGTGGCCCAACCCCTCATTTGCTGACAAGTCTCCAGTTTTTTGCCTAGCGTCAGGAGTAAGGAGCTAAAAAAATTTCTCTGGATAATTTTTTTCCCTGCTCGTGCGGCGGCCGCTACTCGAGGCCCCGGCTTTTGCGGCCTCCAGGCGGCTCCATTTCCGCCATCTTGGATGTGGGCAAATTTGCTCTTTCGTTGCGTAACTTCCGCCCGGGCTTCCTATAGCCTCAGGCGGATGCAGAGTGTCTTCCTTTCGGCTCGTGGACGCTGTAGGAGAAGGACACAGCGTGCAGAGCTCCTCCACCTTGCAGGGTCGGACGTCTGGGCCGGGACAAACGCTGAGGGTCGTGAGTTGCTGGGGGTCCCTCTTCCCTTTTGCCTGGTGGTCTCTGGTCTGTGGGGTGGTTTTTGCTGCGGGTGTACAATGGATCGCAGGGATGACTCTCCTGCATTGCCTTGTGAGGGTTGTGGGCTGCGCTCTGCGGACCCCACTAGACCCCCTTCGGGGGGGTGGGTGGTACCACGGGTACCGCATTGTCTCTGGAATCTTTTTCCTCTGTAATGGATGGGTTTGTGACGCGCATGGAGCGCGCCTTGACGCAGCGCCCACCTAGGAAGCCTTGTCAGGGGAGTCCGAAGAGGAGGGGGAACCCACGACGTAGCCTCATCCTGATCCCCGCGATTCCTCACATCCTGATTCGGCCAGTGAGGATGAGGCTGCGTCTACGCTCCTGGTCGAGGAACGTGAAACTGTTTCGGCGCTGGTCCGCGCTGTCAGGGAGACCCTGAAAATTGAGGACGTTGCCAGCACTTCCGCGCTGCCGCACGCGCAGTTTGGGACGCATAAGAGTAGGCGTTCTGCCAAGGTGTTTCCTTACATCCCCTTTTTTTATTTCATTTATAAGGATTGGAAACGGCCTACAAAGTCCTTTGCGGTTCCTAAGCGGTTCTCTGTTCGCTACCCCATTGAGGAAGCCTTTGTGTCTAAATGGTCTTCCCCGCCAGTGGTGGACCCGCCGGTCTCTCGTTTGAACAAAGCCACGGTTATTCCGGTGGAGGATTCTCCGTCCTTTAAGGATCCTTCCGATAGGAAGGCTGAGGCGCTTTTGCCGTGTCTGTACTCTCTCGGGTGCTCTCATGCGTCCGGTCTTGGCTTCGGCTTTGGTCTCTCAGACTCTAACTGAGTGGGCTAAGATGTTACATCAGGGTTTTGCGGAGCAGAACGTCTCCCCCGCTTTCGTGGAATTAGCGGACCAGTTGGTGCATGGCCTTCGCTATGTCTGCGATGCTGCGCCCTTGGTGTCCAAGGTGTCGGTGTCAGCGGTGACGCTTTGCCGTTTGCTCTGGCTTAAGTGCTGGTCGGCGGATCAGGCTTCCAAGAAGGCTCTACATGAGTTGCCCTTCACTGGGGACCGACTGTTTGGTTCCACCTTGGATGAGATCATTAAGGATCTGACGGGGGGTAAGAGTACCTTCCTTCCCCAGGCGCGCAAGAAGGAACAGCGCCGGAAGCCTGGGCCTACTTTCTCCGCTCACAAGCGGCTTTTTCGGGCGGTAGGTTTAACAAATCCTCCTCTTCCCAATCCTCCTCCAAGCGTCCATGGCAGCCCAAGTCTGCTAAGCCCGCCGGGAAGCCCCAGTCCGCATGAAGGTCGGGCCACGGCTCTGGTTCCCAGGGTGGGGGGGGCGCCTTCGGGTCTTTGCGCATTTTTGGCTGGCCCACGTCTCCGACTCTTGGGTCCGGGAGCTGGTTTCTTCGGGCTACAAGATCGAGTTTCTGTCTCGTCCGGGAAACTGGTTCTTCCCGTCCAACACGCGACTCTCCTTCGTGGTTGGCGGATCTCCGTCGCGCTGTGGCGGACCTTTTGTCCCAGGGGGTGATTGTGCCAGTTCCGTCCTCGGAAAGGTTCAAAGGGTTTTATTCAAACCTGTTTACTGTGCCCAAGAAAGAGTGGGTGCGGCCCATCCTGGACCTCAAACGCTTGAACGTCTTTGTGCGGTCCGTCGGTTCCGGATGGAGTCGATCCGGTCCGTGGTTGCATGGCTCAGTCAGGGAGATCTACTCGCCTCCATCGATATCCGGGATGCATACCTTCATGTACCCGTTTGCGAGTCTCATCAGCGGTATCTTCGTTTCGCGGTGGGGGAGGACCATTTTCAGTTTGTGGCGCTGCCCTTCGGGCTGGCGTCGGCCCCACGTGTGTTCACCAAGGTGCTAGCCCCGATCCTGGCGCTGTTGCATTGTCGGGGGGTTTCGATCGTGGGGTACCTGGACAACCTGCTCCTACGGGCGGAGTTGCATTCTTCTATGGTGACGGCTCTGGGGGTCACGGTGCGTTCCTTGGAGGAGTTCGGGTGGCTTCTGAACCTGCGAAAATCTTGCCTGGTGCCTTCACCACGCCTGGAGTATCTGGGTTTGGTTCTGGACACTGTAGCGGCCCGGATCTTTCGTCCTCGGGACAAGCTCCTGAAGCTCCGTTCCAAGGTCCCTCTACTGAGGACTCGCCAGTGGTCGCCCATTCAGGTTTTCATGCAGGTCCTGGGTCTCTTGGTGGCCTCCTTCGAGGCGGTGCCCTTTGCGCAACATCATACCAGGACCCTGCAGAGGAACATCCTGGTGCAGTGGGACAAGTCCCCCCTGTCCTTGGACAGGGAGATTCGGATCTCTCGGGAGGCGAGGGCCTCCCTGCGTTGGTGGCTTCAATCTCCGGTCTTGGTGCGGGGGAAGTGTTTCCTTCCTGTGCATTGGACGGTGGTCACCACGGACGCCAGCCTTTGGGGCGGGGTCCTGGGCTCCTTGACCGTGCTGGGTCGTTGGTCGCCGGAGGAGTCCCGTCTGTAGATAAATGTGTTGGCACTTCGGGCGATTCGCCTTTCTCTCCTTCATTGGTCGGCCCGTCTCCAGGGTCTGGCGGTCCGGGTCCAGTCGGACAACGCCACTCCACTCTGGCGTACATCAACCACCAGGGCGGCACAAAAAGCGTGGCCGCAGGTCGGGAGGTGTTCGGGATTCTCTCCTGGGCGGAAAATCGAGTCCTGGCTCTCTCGGCGGTCTACATCCCGGGAGTGGACAATTGGCAGGCCGATTACTTCAGTCGACAGTCGGTGGATCCGGGGGAGTGGTCTCTGCACCCGGAGGTTTTTCAGCAGCTCTGTCATCGCTGGGGGACGCCGGAGGTGGATCTTCTGGAGTCTCGGTTCAACCGGAAAGTGGACAGGTTTGTGGCCCGGGCCCTGGATCCCTGGGCGGAGGACGTGGATGCCCTGGTGGCTCCTTGGGGTCATTACGGTCTAATTTACGCCTTTCCTCCACTGTATCTGTTGCCTCGGCTGCTGCGTCGGATCGCGGCCGAGGGCGTCTCCGTCGTTCTCGTAGCCTCGGATTGGCCTCAGGGGGCGTGGTACGCGGATGTGGTTCAGCTGGTGGTGGATGCCCTGTGGCGTCTGCCTCTGCGCCCCGATCTTCTGTCCCAGGGACCTGTGTGCCATCCTTCTTTACAGTCGCTGGCTTTGACGGCGTGGCTGTTGAGAGCCGGGTCCTGAAGGACCGGGGGTTGTCCGATGCAGTCATCTCCACTATGCTCAGCGGTCTCTCGGAGAATTTACCATCGTACTTGGAGGGCCTATTTTGCCTGGTGTGAGGCTGGGACCCTGTCCCCGTGTTTATTCTCCGTCAGCCGAATTCCTGCCTTCTTGCAGCGCGGGTCTCCGGCTGGGTAACGGACGAAGGCCGCATTCTCGCTGGAGAGGCCCCGGGGGTGACAGGCTGCACATACTAAGGTAAGGTAACCTTACCTCACGAGGCCAGCTTCCTGATTGGTCGGGAAGCTGGCCAATCAGGAAGCCAGGCAGCGCGTCATTACACGCAGCCCGGCTTCCTTATTGGCCGGGAAGTCGGCTCCATGTTCTCTCATCACAAGTGACGAGAGAGCATGGAGCCACTTCACGGTCAATCGCCCGGCTTCCTGATACCGGAAGTACTCGTGCTAGGCATCGAAGCATTTGGGCGAGTACTTGCCCAAATGCTCAGAATCGGCACCGATATCGATACTAGTATCGGTATCGGTGCATCCCTAGTTCTAACCCTTACTGTACTAATACGTGCTTTTATTGATGTGTACCCCTGTCAGTCGGCAAATCTCTGTTTAGGAAATGTCTGTGGTTACACAGACAATAAAACCTGGCAACAGTTCTAACCCTTCCAAAACTAGAGGAAATAACTTGTGTCTGCATTTCTACCTCCAGCTTTCAGCAGATCTAATACCTATTGCTGGTTATCACTATTATGGTAGCCTGGATCATGCCCATTTGACAGCTTTATTAATCTTTGCCTGCAAATGTTTTTACTGATTTTTAGGAAGGATAGTATAAAGGAAAGTCCAAAGAAGAAGTGCTGGGAGCCAACTACTTTGCATTCTTCCCGCGGCAGCACCATCACCGTGACCCAGTCTTCACGGGGTGGCGGAAACAGTGGCACCAGTGTACTAAGAGGACGTATTAGCAGCTTTCCTACACGGTTTGGAAACCGTAATGTCTTCATGAAAGAATCCAGTTCCTCTTCAAGCACAGGCTCTAGGTCCAGATCAAGGTCTTCCTCTCGGTCTCCTCACAGACGACACTGCCGAAGGTATACTGTTAATTGCATAATACATTTTGTTTGCTGTAATTTCTGTTTATTTAAAATAAGTAAAAGCACATCCAAAGACCAGGGGGTTTAACAGTAGTACAAATAGGTTGTAGTCCTAGAACACTTTCAAGGTGTCCTACGATTACTGCCCATGGGTGCCCTTTGTATTATACTACCCCTTTTTGGGGGCTTTGGAGCCAGGCAAGGCTATATAGGGTCTGTAGTAAATTGGAGGTGGATTGCGGGCTGGATCCCGTTGTGATAAGAATTTTATAATGTGTATTTTTTTTTTTTTATTTTTTTTTCTTCTAGTGATTCTCATTCAGACTCTGACAGCAGCTCATTATCTGGAGGAGAAAGCCGAACAGGTGGTCGTAGAAGTATACAGAAAGGACGTGGTCGGGGAGGTCATGCAGAACGTGGTCGGGGAAGGAATCAGAGGGGCAAAAGGTGTATAGCATCTGTTTGTTTCAGTTTTACCTGTAATCTCTGGGGTGGTGGTGAAACAAGACTGGAGGAGAAATCTGATTTTTCACTAGCTGCCTTCCTTTAGGATGTGACTGCTTTTGTGCATTGCTAGTTTTGTGGCGAGAAGAATTTTTCGACATAGTCCACAACCAGTTCATGCACATGAGTATCAGTGTTGTAACACCCTTCATTTCTGAGCGTTTGAAAGACTAATTTGTCTTGTGTATGACCTTATTGCTGTCCATGTTTTATGTTGTACCTTTTAGAATATGTGCCACAAAATATGACTTATTTATATTTCCAGATTGACCAATATATTCTGTATCCCTTTACACAAGTTGATTTTTTTCGAAAGTTTGAAAGAATTGCAGTATATATTGGAAATATTTATTTTAATGATAAATGCAGTGTTGATACATTGTGCAGTGCATTCATTACACATTAAGGCTGCACACATGAGCATGAGCATTTACAGGCAATTTTGGAGCGTTATTTGTGCCGCCCTGTGTGGTATGTTATTGTGTGTTGTGTTTTTGTTTTGTTTTTTAAGGCATAAGCAGCTTTGAGTGGTTTCTTTTAGCCAGTGGAAAGCTAGGTACTAGGCAAAAGCGATGGTTGTTTAGGCTTGAAAAACAATCAGGCACTTCCATTGAAGTGTATAGGGTCCCATTCTGCTTCAACAGTAGCTCATGCACATTTTTGAGATTTAGGTGTCAAGATCTAGTTGCCTGAGCAGTCATGTGAACCGGCAGTAGAGCTATGAACTTCAGTCTACAAAATGCTCAGGTGTGAATCAGGGCTTAAATGTATGTAAAGTATTTTTTTAAGTTTTAGATAAAGCAGTTTTAAAACCTCTGACAGTTTTTTTTATAGTATTACCTGTGTCCCTGCGTATACAAGTCACTACTACTAAGCTACCAGCATCAGCTGATGTCTTTGGAGACAAGTGCTGCAGAATGGAGCTTATTTATGCTCCTCAGGAGCACAATAGTAAAGAACTGGCCTCACACATAAGCGTTAAAATTTGTTCCAGACGTGCACACAGAACCTCCCCAGTGACACATTTCACCTGAAAAGGGCTTAGTTGTGGAACTCTTTCTACGCCCATGCCCCTCTGTTCCCTTTTTAAATACTGTCATCTGGACCTAAATAAGGGGAAAATACCAAATGTTTACGTTGTCACCAAAACAGGAGGGAAATCTTCCAATGGGTATATTTATTGGAGTGGCAACTGTCTAATAGGGGATTTGTGGCTCATTGGAGAAATTTTCTCTCACTTAAAGTATCTTCAGGACAAAAAGTGAAGGGACATCTTCCCAACTGCATACCAGCAGTAAAAAAAATTCCTGTCTGATTTTAAGCATCGAGTGGATGATTTCCACTCATCCTTATAGTTAGAGCCGACAAAGAAGAGTGACAAAGAAGCTGTCGCAGGTTGGCTCTATCGATCGGGACGTGAGCAGCAACATGCACCGATCTGCTTAGTTTTCAATCGTCTCCCTGCATTGAACGGTGACTCAGTCACCGGTCCACTCAGGGATTCTCCCCCCTCTCCAAACCTCCAACGCTGAGTGGAGGAACGAGCGGGGGAGGGGGAGGGCACAGCTGGCTCTGCCTCTTGACAGGCAGAGCCAGCTGTCACTCACGCAGCTGGGTGGATCTTGACAGTAATGTCGGGATCCGTCCCGGCTGCGATGCTATATATATCGCGGGCAATAGCCCGGTATATACTGAGCTTTGGGTCACTGGAGGACGCTAGTATATGTCCTCCCATGACCCTAAAGAGAACTGTGGGGAAAAACACTTACCCCATAGTTCTCTTTTAAGCTTTGCTTTGTTGTCTGAGGAGATTGTAAATAGTTAAATGATGGCAGTCATATTTCATTTTCTTATTTTCCAATATAGATGCTTTGATGAACATGACGTTGGCTTTTTAGTAGGTCCAAATTATTTCATTTCTTAAATTCCATTTTTTAGAAGTGAACAAAATTTCAACAAACGAAATCGCAAGAAGAATGTTCAGATGGATTTTGAGGATCCAGAGAGAGATTCCAAGAAGGAAAAGCGAGCAGCACGTTTCCAGCATGGCCACAGTCCAAAGAAACTGCGTCTTGAGCCTCTTGTGCTGCAGATCAATAACTTGGATCCTAATGACTCTGACAACTTGGACTGGAATGAGCTAAAAATAGTGGGAACTTCCCAAGATATCACCAAGCCTTACCTGCGCTTAACATGTGCACCAGACCCGTCAACTGTGAGACCAGTGCCAGTAAGTTGTGTGGTTTTTTTTCCTTTGTTTTCTGACAGGGGCAAAATGTGATTAGAAAGTTGAAAACCCCAAAACTGCATCCTTCCTGAACCTTCAGTGCTCAAAATAACTTATCTTTCTGACCCACAAAAAGGCATGTGTTGCAGAGACAAGATGTGCTAGAGCTTCAGAATGAGAGTTTAAAGTTGTTATTTAAGTATTTAGTACCACGAGTTCAGGGGTTTTCTTGGCATAAAGAGGGAAAAGTGAGACCACGTGTTATGGGCTTATACCTCGCTACATGCTTTTAAGTTTTTGAATTGGGTTTACCGTCTGTCTTTCTCATAGTGAAAAGCCCAGAACGGTACACTCTGTGTGGGTTGAAAAAGCAGGGACGAGAAAGGTAGAATCTTTACACTTTGTAAAAAAGGCCTTTATAGATAAACTTTTAAAATTAAGTTACTAATGTGGACTGTAGACACAGCTGAACCCTTGCAAGGGTTCTGTGAGAGAATTGCATGCAAGAGAGGCCTCTTGTGGTATTAGGTGAAGAATAGTCTTGAAGAAGAATACAATCTGCTCTGGAAGAGCTTATGTGCTTACAGGAGTTAAGTTAGTAAGGATAGAAGATCAGAAGACTTCTCAGGCTTCTGATTATCAGTAATGGAATGCATGGGGCTACCAACTAATTTTCTACTGCCTGGAAGACTAGCCCTAGGCTCACTTTTCCCCACTCAGGCAAGAGGGTGTCAGTGGGGGAAATCCACCTGGGACAGATCTGCAGTGCTGGGGAGAGTCAGGCAAGGACTCACCCCCAAATAATGAAATCTGAAGGAGACCACTTATAAGTTTTCCTACTAATGGTAATGGTTATGTCAGCTTTTCAACCAAAGGGAGACCATCTTGGAAAGGAAACTATGGTGTGAATTGGGGTCTGCCAGTACCTAAAAGTTGCAGATGAGATATTAATGAGGATGAGGCCCTACTAAAACTGGAGGAGACAAGTGGACTTGCTGAGCATAGTAACCACACAGCTTCTGTCTTCGGTTTATTCATTTAAGCTTTGAAAATTAAAGTTGCAATGCACTGCTGCTTGATTTTGTCTGCTCCAGTCTTAGTAAAGTTCTCTCAGAGATAAGTGTTGCTTCTGTGAGGCAGTTTCCACAGTTCTTAAACTAGAAAAGTGACATGCACATGTGATTTTGTCGTTTTAGGCATTTTTAATGTAAAAGATTAATACTCATTAAGCTTACTGTTTACCTGAGTTGCTTTTTATCACAGGTTTTAAGAAAATCGTTAACAATGATGAAGGGACACTTTCAAGAGAAGCAAGATTATGCATTTGCTTGTGAGCAACTGAAATCAATCCGCCAAGATTTAACGGTAACTTTTCCTAACAAAATCTCTGTGCTTTGCATTTGTGTTCTGTTCCGGTTGTAATAGATTTTTTTTTTGTGGTTTGCAGGTTCAAGGCATTCGCACAGAGTTCACTGTAGAAGTCTATGAGACTCATGCACGAATAGCACTGGAAAAGGTTAGATTTTTTTTTTTTTTTTGCTTCTTCGTTGATATACACTCACTGGCAACTTTATTAGGTACACCTGTTCAACTGCTTGTTAATGCAAATATCGAACAAGCCAATCACATGGCAGCAACTCTGATATCTGATAATATGGTGAAACAACCCCCACACTGCAGACACCTCATTCCCCTCACATCGATCCTCAGCAGCAGTCATCACCGTACCACAGATGTCCCTCGGCCAGACACTGCTCTCCAAGCCGCTTTACCGTCGCCTGACTCCAGTGTGTGTACATCGCCAGCACTGCCTGCTTAATGCTGTTAGAAGATTTCTGAATGAGAGCGCGGGGCAGTGTGCACATATGCAGTAGCTGGCTGAGGGTCGATCACGCAGGTGGTGCGGGCCCTGTACACACAGGAGACGTGGGCAGATCCGGGAGAGCAGTATCTGGCCGAGGGACATCTGTGGTACGGTAATGACTGCTGCTGAAGATGAATATGCATGTGTGGAGAATGGGGTGTCTGCAGGGTGGAGGTTGTTTCACCATATCATATCCGTTTGTCCGGCTTGATGCTGATTGGCTGGGAAGCAGGCTTCCCGGCCAATTGGCATCGAGCCGGCCAAACGGCATGGAGTTAGCTTCCAGGGCAATCAAGAAACCGGGTGGTGGCTAATGACACGCCGCCTGGCTCCCTGATTGCCCGGGAAGCAAGCTCTATGCTAACAGAAGTAACGGTACTCGGTATCGGCAAGTACCAAAATATAAATATCGGTACTCGATACCGAAAAAACGGTATCGGTGCATCCCTATCAGGAAATGTTGATCTACTGGGATTTTCACACACAACGTCTCTAGGGTTTACTCTAAAAAAGAGCTGCAGTTCTGGGTGAAAGTGCCTTGTTGAGGTCAGAGCAGAATGACTGACTGGATTGGTTCAAGTTGATAAAAAGGCAACAGTAACTGAAATGACCACTTGTTAGACCCGAGGTATGCGGAAGAGCATCTCTGAACGCATCAAACCTTGAAGCAGATGGGCTGGAGCAGCAGACAACCACACCAGGTGCCACTACTGTCAGCTGAAAATAGGAAGCTAAGACTACAATTGGCAAGGACTCACCAAAATTGGAAAGAAGATGGAAAAACGTTGCGTTATCTGAGTCTCAATTTCTGCTGTGACATTTGGATGGTTGGGTTTGAATTTTGCATAAACAACATGAAAGCATAGATTCATCCTTCCTTGTATCAATGGTTCACACTGGTGATGGTCTATTGGTTAATCTACATTGATAATGAGTTCACTGTACTCAGATGACCTCCACAGTCACCAATCCAATAAAGCAGCTTTGGGGTGTGGTTGAACTGGAGATTTGCATTCTGGATGTGCAGCTGACAAATCTGCAGCAATTGTGTGATGCTATCATGTCAATATGGACCAAACTATGGACTAAGCAATTTTGTGATGCTATCATGTCAATATGGACCAAAAATGGACTAGGGAATTTTTTCAACACCTTGTTGAATCTGTCACAAAGAATTAAGGCAGTTCTGAAGACAAAAGGGGGTCTTAACCTATTAGCGAGGTGTACCCAATAAAGTGGCCAGTGAGTGTATGTATTCAATATGTACGATCTGTTACAATATTTATTTGGGAGAGTATCATTTGTACTACTTTAAATGTTTAGCAGATTTCTAATTTTACTATTGGTTTTCCCATTAGTAGCTTGGCATGTTTGGTACAACAATACACCAACAATGTATAGCCATCTTGGAAAGCCCTGTTTTTTTCATTGTTGGTGTATTACTTTGAATGCGTGTATAAACGCATTCAAAGTAATTAAAACAAAGTTTTATTAAGACAATAAAATCCCCATAAAAACAACCACATTGTTACAGATATCCAGGACCATCCAGGTGCTAGACTTCACATTTTATACTTCTTTGACCTACTACATATATGTATTAAAATACAATTCGATTCCAATGGTTATATTGAGGGTCCGAACAGATGTTTTATCATAAAATGTTCTTTGTAGTAGTCCAACCTTCAGTGCGTCTCACATTCTTGCTTTTTCAAGAAGGTGAGGAAATCTATGATTTGCAGATAAATATCATTAGCACAACAATATAATGGCTCACAGATCAACTAACTGAGGTCACTAACTATCTAGCACATCACAATAAGAATAAATCTGATGGTCACAACATATTAATGGATTGCTGATTCTTCAAATTTTGGCAAAATAATATATATATATATATATTTAACATTTATTTTTTGAAACATTTTTTTTAAGTCCGCGCCCCCCTAATACACACGCATATATGCGTCAGGTGCGCCTACGTGCCGCACATGTTGCATATCGCCGCAAACTGAGTGAGAGCAATAATTTTAGAGCCATTAAGGCCGGGTTCACACCTGGGTGTTTTACAGCGCTGATCGATGCGCTGTAAAACGCCCTGCAAGTGAAATCCCATTATTTCCTATGGGCATGGTTCTCACTTGGGCGTATTTCAGCGTGTCGGAACGTGCTGAAAACGCCCTATGGCCAAAGAAGTACAGTAGCTTCTTGGGGCGTATTTCCGCGCATATCCATTAGGGTACAGCCGGATAGCCCTCGTAAACACGCGTTTGACGCGCTGCAAATCGCTGTTAAAGCATGCACCGCAAAACGTGCGTCATACATGCATATTTCGACCGCCTAGGTGGGAACCCAGCCTTGGGTAAGAATAAATGTTTTATAAAATAACGTAGGGAAACTTATTTTTTTTTTTTTACATTTATGGTACTTTTAACATTTTATATAGTAAAAAACAAAATACCCCCCGTGGTGATTTCTATACCTCCAAAAGAAAGCTCTATCTGTCCCCAAACTTTTTTAACATAAATTGCAAGGCTATAGTCCGGTCATGCTGACTGGTGAAATTTTTGACTGACTGGTGAGACACTATCAAAAATTTGATATATATATCTCCCGGGATATGCGATGTGAGTGTCTATTTTAGAGAAAAATTAGTCTAATCTCCCTTATGGGGTGAATCTTTGGGTAACAGTTTTTAATAATGCAAACATCACTCTGCGTGTGGAGAAAAAAATTATATAGTATGTCAACGCTGATTTGGGCTTGTTTACCTCTATTGTTCCCTTACAAAATGTTCAAATAGCATGGTCACTGGATATCTGTATTGCACCTCTGGATACTATAAAAATCACACCAACGCTTATTTGAATTGGTATAAAAAGATTTATTTTTATATATATATTGATTAAAAAACATGTATACAATTACATTAAATACAACCTAAGTCAAAAACATCCTAGGCGAAAATATAAAACCAATAGCATCTAGCTCTCTATATAATCACTCCAATGCATTTTGTTAGTCACATATGCTCAATTGGGAAATCCATATATCCAGTCCCTACGCGTTTCACACGTTGCTTTCTCAGGGGAGCATGGATTTGTCTGACAAGAAACATATAATCTTAAGTTAATTTATTTGAGTGATATAATATATAAAACCATTGAGTGTGGCCAAATGACAATAGAGCATCCGGTGTGCAAAAGAATATAGATCACCTGTATCAGATAACCGACCATGGGTGTCTACCTCATGAACGGGATAAAATTAGCAACCAAGTGATGAAAAGGTGGATGTTTTTTCAAACAAATTACATAAAATATACTTAATAATATGACTGATACATGTACCGGTAATCAATCATGTTTGAGATGTTGGATGTTCTTCGAACAAATGTAATTAATTATGTTTATTGTATTGTATATACGATGTATTGATATGATCTGATGCAAAATGTATGTTTAAATGACAGAAGAGAACAAAAAACAACTTTCAATAGTTGGGGCCGGGGAGGAATGTGTTAATGTGGCGGCTGCTCTGCATAGACTGGTACCGCTCGGGATTGGTTTCTTTGGGGATCACCTGGGTGGGTTAGTCGTAGATGCAGGAACAGGGATCAGTACTTTGGGGACCTTTGGACCTCAATGATATGTAAAAACGAAGCAGAATGTAAATTAAAAGAGCAGACAAACAAACCATAAACAGAGCAACTGACATCCAAACATTTAGGCTATTATCAGCTCGCCCTGTGCCGGAAGATGGCTGGAGGTGGAGACACAGGTTGGGCGTCCCGCGTTGCCATAGTGGCGGCGGGCCCTAACACCAATACGCAGGCGCGAGAATCTCGCGCATGCGCAGTTGAGGTCCACACAGCAGACGGGCGTCCAAGCACCCCCAGGTGCTGGGCGTCCCATCTGCGGTGGGGGCTATTTAAGAGGGAAGGGCGGGGGGATGGATAGTGGAGGTGGGACGCAGGTGCGGGAACTCAGGACGATACAAACAGACACAGAGCTGTGTATAAGTAGACGGACGTGATTCACATAGCTACACTTTGGATCACGTTAATTCGAAACTGACAGGTATGTGGATAACTCTGGGTATAATAGGGGTGGATGGCTGGATAATAATATCAATGGACAACTACCTTTACATATACGAGGGAACCAGTGGGGCCACATATGAATAACACTGATGGGGATTTGCAGTGTGAAGGATTTTGGTTTGGCCTCAGGATAGGCA